AATATTGTTATCACTATTATTTTTATCATTATTGTTATCATCATTATCATTATCGCCATTATCAATATCATTATCATTATTATTTTGATACCTTTACAACATCAGCGTTACTGCCACTGCAGTCAATTCTATAATTATAATTCATGTTATAGATATAGTATATATTTTTTTCTAAAATATATATGATATTTCAGAATCAACCTTTGTGTGCAGTGGAAACACTCATTAAGTGTATAGCAAGGTAAAATATTACAAAAAGAAAATCAGATTTTATTATACAGTTGAGAGAAGATTACAGCTCTTTGATGATCTAACACGAATCCCTGCCTATCAAAATCCATATAATTTATTGTTTAGGAATCACATTCAGGTAAGCCTTGAGAAAAAGATGGGTCTATAATCGAGGTGTTCATTCGATGTATATTAATATATGGGGGGCAATCTGCTTTACATCATATTATAGGGTGATGTTACTAACGGCAGAATGATAAAGAAAGAAAAAGAAAATGTAAAATAAAAACACGGAGATAATAAAACCCCAGGTTATGATTTAACATTGTAAAACTGAAGAATCAATCAAAAGTTCCATATAAATCTACGTTCGCCAATGTTTAAACTTAAATTCAATCTGCACCGCTCTTCTATATCTCAGGTTATTACTATTTTAACAACACTTATTACTATTTCGACAACAGGTAGTCAGCTTATCAACGGCGGATATAATAACCACAGTAAAGCTGTAGATAAAAGATAAACAAACTAGATTCATTTTCGTATACATTTACTTTCTTTTCACTAGAATCAGTGCATACATACGCTGTTTTCTTGAGGCACCTCTTTTCTTTTCTTCTTCCAGTGAACACGGACGTCTCAGAGTTGGATTTGGCAAGAAGGGCAGAGGAAGCAAGGAGAACATGGTCGAGCTGTTTACGAGGAGTTCCACAGCGAAGACTACGGTTGCTAATACTAAAAGAGTCCCGAGGAGTGTGAAACATCCCACTAGATCCTCGAGACCCAGACTACGCGGACCTGTGGAATCGTAAGCGAGTTCTACCATGAAAGTAATATAGTAATATAGCAATATCTGTACACTAAATTCTGTACTTGAGAATATACCGAAATTCATTGCAGGGACTTGTTAAGAAGAAATGGTTTTGTCAGATTTGCTGTCTTTCTTTTTGCGTTGATTTCCCCGTTTTTATTTGGGACGAATCATTTTTATTTTTTTCTCTCTCTCTCTCTCTCACCTCTTGGACTCGGACGAGTACACTCGTTGTCTTGAGGGAAAAAGTCTTGCTGCCACTTCGCAAAGAATCCAAATTGTTCATACTGCAAAAATCTGGAGAGAGATGAACATTTCAACAAATATTGATCATCACATTATTAGAGTGTGTATTTATTATCATTATTCCTTTTCCTTTTAACTGACCTCGAATTGATGACCTGTGTGTAAACCGACCCCTTCTTCATAATCCAAGCGAAATATGACTTGAAAAAAGTCTCTCTCGCCAAGGAAAACCTACAGCAATGGCAGTTCTTGTAGTCCGTAGCAATTGCGACCTTCAGGAACGACAAATCCTGCACGAGGATAGAGAGGAAAATTGTACACTTCTGTATCTGTTGACGACGTAGAATTACACTTGATATTACGGACTTTACTTATTACGCGTGTTGTGCTACATGGGGCACAAAATAGTAGGGGCAACATTGCTGTAATAAAAAGTGGGTACGAGTAATGCAAAGCTTACCTTAATAAAAGCATGATCACCGGTGCGGACCATATCCACGCCGCCATCATTAGTGGAAGCCATAATGCTGGGCTGACGACGTAACAAATCGCCCACTTTCCCATAGGTTCCCGCCTGTGCCCGCTACATGACGAGCCAGGAAGATACACTACATGCATTAGAGAGTATTTGAACAACATACACGCATGGTATCCGCATAAAATAACATTTACATGCAGTACTTGGATGTTTCAGGCTCACCACGAACAAAGTCTCGTGTACTGATCCTTGCTTAACTGTCCATGGAACTTCCCGTTGGTTCACCAGGTCTTCCAGCGAATCGGCAATCTGGAGAGGTTGCACTGATTTTGTTTTATATTTTCCTATCCAAAAGGGTAACATTCAGTTACATAAGGGCATATACTTAAAAACAACAACAACAATTAAATGGTAAATGAATAATAAATTGGGAAAGTACAGGAACTAATGTTATTTTTCTTTAATTTAGAAACTATTATCTGTGGTTAGTAATGCTATGAGAAGAAAATTACTCTTATTCACTAAAAGGAAGATTAACCCTACAGAGAAAAAGATGAACTTTTCCTATCCTTAAAAAAATATATATATATTACCTTTTAGTGCAAGGTTAGATCAAAGAACTTCACCTTGACAAGTTTAGGAGCAGTGAGGGAGGCGATGAGGGTCCCTGAGTATGAGTAAATGAGAGTGAGGACGAGAAGCCACCAGAAGCTGTGCAGAACCCGTGAAGCATTTGTCTGCCGCATGGTATTGCCTGGGTTATAGGGGGTTATAGGGGGTTATAGAGCTATGATAATGTTATAGATATGTGGAATTCATCTAGAATACATTGAAAATAAAACAACGAAGGGGGGAATACGAAAACACACGAATATGCTGAAAGGCCTTCTCGCTGCATTGATTCTTCAGGGCATGAGAGAGCAATACAGCGGAAAGGCCTTCGAAATATTAGTGTGTTTTCTTGTTCTCCCCTTCGTTGTTCTACTTACATTATGTTATAAAGTTATGAGTTGGTGTTAAGTTATAGAATTATGAATTATTACCCGATCGAAGTCTTTCTTAACATTTATGAAGTTCTATAGGCTATGTACTTTTTTTAACCTGACTTTGAGAAAACCATGGTCGGACAAACATGATATCTCTTATGCAACATATAATTCCCGGATCATATTGGCTGTTTAAAATCATTTGTTTTAATAGATACTACACTATACCACATACAGACAAGTGTATAATGTGGGCTACAGTATCAACATAGATTTGCTATACAATTGCTATTAATCTTTCGAATGAACTCAAGTCTATATGTAATTTCCTGTAAATTTTTCTAACTATAATCACGAGAACCTAGATTTCCTACTTGGCATTGGTGTTATCTTTACAGTCTTAATTAACATAAAAGTTTACTTCAAAATAGGTGGAAAATGTATCTGCAAGGCTTGGTATGTGCACCAATCCATAGAAAAACAGCATTTTGATACAGCAAACAAATGAAAATATATTAGAATCCTGTGAATGCTTGCAAGTGAGATGAAGACGAAGATGAAGCAAAAGCCTGCTTGCTGCGACTGCTTGACCTTTTGTGACAGCACTTTGGTTTTCCGAATTTATGAACAATTCAGTCCTAAAGAACTCAACTGGTAAAACAAAATATAGCGAAAGGTATGAAGACCTTGTTTAGACTTAAACCGATACACAAATACGTAATCAACATAACGTGTTAAATATACCCACATAAAAAGACATGCAAAGAGTAAAACGATATGTGCAGATACATACTCTGACTGACCAACGCCTTGGCAGTGTAAGTGATGTACTGAATGAGGCTACCAGGTAACTTCCCCCGGTGAGGATAGAGGAGAGGGAAGTGAGCCGATAACAGCGAGAGGAGAGTTCCTACCACCACTACTAACACGGCTGTCACTAACCACACCTACAAAGGAGATACGGAAGGCGCTAGTGGGGCTGTTGCTGTTGATATCGATGTTTTTTCTTTCTTTCTCTCTCTGTCTGTCTTATACTCTTTTTTGTGATTGTCTTATTCTCTCTCTTTTATCTTCCTGTCTGTCTGTTTTAATAACAACAATGCCGCGATAGTCGTAAGAACTATAACGACCAATAATCCTAACCAATACTTGGAAATGTATTCCCATAAAAGAATGTTAACAAACAAATATATATTTTTTTCCGTTTTGTTCTTACTTGAAACCAAGCTGTTTGACGAGTAATTCCAGCATTGAAAAGCAGAATCCAGTTGCCTTAATGATTTCCGAGGAACCGCTACGCTTCTCAAGCATGGTGAAGGGAGGGCGCTGAAGAGGAGAAAGGAAGTTAGTTCAATTTTTTTAAGTGGGTTAAGTGTGTAAGTGTTGAGTATTGTGTTAGAAGGTATGACTGTAAGATGTTTATACTACTACTAGTATGGTGAAGGGAGGGCGCTGAAGAGGAGAAAGGAAGTTAGTTCAATTTTTTTAAGTGGGTTAAGTGTGTAAGTGTTGAGTATTGTGTTAGAAGGTATGACTGTAAGATGTTTATACTACTACTAGTATGGTGAAGGGAGGGCGCTGAAGAGGAGAAAGGAAGTTAGTTCAATTTTTTTAAGTGGGTTAAGTGTGTAAGTGTTGAGTATTGTGTTAGAAGGTATGACTGTAAGATGTTTATACTACTACTAGTATGGTGAAGGGAAGGGGGCCAATGGGGGGGGGGGGGGAGACATGCTTTAAGCAAGTGTTGTTATGGGGGTTGAATACGTAGTGTTGAGTATTGTGTTAGAAGGTATGACTGTAAGATGTTTATACTACTACTAGTATGGTGAAGGGAGGGCGCTGAAGAGGAGAAAGGAAGTTAGTTCAATTTTTTTAAGTGGGTTAAGTGTGTAAGTGTTGAGTATTGTGTTAGAAGGTATGACTGTAAGATGTTTATACTACTACTAGTATGGTGAAGGGAAGGGGGCCAATGGGGGGGGGGGGAGACATGCTTTAAGCAAGTGTTGTTATGGGGGTTGAATACGTAGTGTTGAGTATTGTGTTAGAAGGTATGACTGTAAGATGTTTATACTACTACTAGTATGGTGAAGGGAAGGGGGCCAATGGGGGGGGGGGGAGACATGCTTTAAGCAAGTGTTTTTATGGGGTTGAATACGTAGTGTTGAGTATTGTGTTAGAAGGTATGACTGTAAGATGTTTATACTACTACTAGTATGGTGAAGGGAGGGCGCTGAAGAGGAGAAAGGAAGTTAGTTCAATTTTTTTAAGTGGGTTAAGTGTGTAAGTGTTGAGTATTGTGTTAGAAGGTATGACTGTAAGATGTTTATACTACTACTAGTATGGTGAAGGGAAGGGGGCCAATGGGGGGGGGGGGAGACATGCTTTAAGCAAGTGTTTTTATGGGGTTGAATACGTAGTGTTGAGTATTGTGTTAGAAGGTATGACTGTAAGATGTTTATACTACTACTAGTATGGTGAAGGAAAGGGCGCCGTGAAATCGATGGCGGTGGAGCGCGAGTGACTCACGGTGAAGCTCCCGATGGCGCCGTCGGCCTCCTGCAGAAGAGGTGCTCGTGGGTAAGGGGCAGGTTGTCTTGGCTTCTTAAAAGGGATTTTCTCCTCTAACTAGTGAAGAAAATAAGAACATACAAACAAACAAACGACAGACGACTTACTGACCCCTCTAACTACCATTCCGACCATTCCATTCCAGTTCCCGTTTTCGTCCTTGACACCAAAACTACCATCAGGAACTTCTACTAGCTGATACCTGGCAGATATTTTAAAAAAATGGGAAGACAGATAAGATATAAGGATAATGATGCCGTTGATATTAACGATAATAAGGATGGTAATAGTAAGAGTGATAAAGGCAATGGTGATAACGGTCATAATGTATTGTTGAAAATAGTAATTAACAAAGTCATGATTGTAACCTTAAAAATTAATGTTTACAGTTATGATAATGATCATAATAGTTAAGGTAATAATAATGTTATGACGATACTAACAACAGTAATTTATAAAACAGTCATAGTGTTTGTGATAATGATTAAAAACTATCAATAAATATACTAATAATCATAATGATAATAATGCCAATAACGGCAATGAAGATTTTATCTTCCTGTCTGTGTGTTTTAATAACAACAATGCCGCGATAGTCGTAAGAACTATAATCCTAACCAATACTTGGAAATGTATTCCCATAAAAGAATGTTAACAAACAAATATATTTTTTTTTTCCGTTTTGTTCTTACTTGAAACCAAGCTGTTTGACGAGTAATTCCAGCATTGAAAAGCAGAATCCAGTTGCCTTAATGATTTCCGAGGAACCGCTACGCTTCTCAAGCATGGTGAAGGGAGGGCGCTGAAGAGGAGAAAGGAAGTTAGTTCAATTTTTTTAAGTGGGTTAAGTGTGTAAGTGTTGAGTATTGTGTTAGAAGGTATGACTGTAAGATGTTTATACTACTACTAGTATGGTGAAGGGAAGGGGGCCAATGGGGGGGGGATATGTTTTAAGCAAGTGTTGTTATGGGGGTTGAATACGTAGTGTTGAGTATTCTCTGTGCAACAAGGTTTGGATGTGAGATGTACTGAGCAGAAGAGAAAAAAATGTATAAAATTAAGTGTTAAGCGTGTGAAGTGTTACGTGTTGATAAGGATGAACTATTATGCAAGTGTTATTAGTAAGGAAAATGTGCTCAAAATTATATTTAAGTTCTGCCTAGGTAATGAAAAGGTGCAGGGGGGGGGGTGCTAAGGAGGGAAGAAAAAACGTTAACAATTAGGTAAATG